AAGTTACATCTCTGGCAGCAGGGATAAGAGAGAGACTAGGAGGGATGCCAGCAGATAAAAGAGAACTTTTAACAGCCTCTATGTGTCGAGCAAGTTAAAAAGTGTTTTCTATCAGAGCCTTGTCAAACTGTCATCACCACTTACATTTGAAGAAAACAAATCACAGCCCCATTTCTTTGCTGGTTTTCTCAGATTGATGCTAATCTAAAACGCTGCGAGGATTAAATACACTGGCAACAGTTTTAAGTTGATATCTTTCACTGACCGTCAATGCTGTTGAAAGACAACAGCAGAGAGCAGTGACAGCTCTCAGTGTTTTCACAGTTGTTCACAAGCATCCCATGAGAGCTGGAGAGGCTATTAGCTGTGTAATGATCACTGGATGTTATAGTTCACATTCACACAGGCAGCGTGACAGGCATATGGAAGTTGATTTTGAGGGATGAAACATACAGGGATAGTGCTGTAAGTAGACAGCTGAGATGAGCTTACAGACTTACACACACAGTATATTCTCTATTGACCCAAAGCAGCAAAAAACCGATACACACACAAACACACACACTTTTATATTATTCCCTGTCAACTTCAGCAGCATCTTAATTAAATCTGACACCCACCATGTGGCTTTTATGTATGGGGTGAGGGTTTCCCACTGTCACTGGACTTCAGCCAACAGAACCAGGTGTGGCCACTAACAGGTGCAAGTGATCCACCGACAGTGAGGCGTGTCTGGAGTGCAGCGGTCCGACACACGGCCACTAGACCATAATGTCCTGCAGGAAACTCATCCCACCTCTCCTCGTTTGATGTGGGCACTTTCACTTAGTCATTCATTTTTAAACTCTCAGCTGATGTCAAATTTTAAAGTTGTTTTCCACCATTCTAGTTCAATACTCATTTTCCACACTCTGCTTCTCTTTTTTACCCGCCAAGTTCCCCAGCAACATATGTTTATCCTCTGGCATGAGTCTTCTCTTCATGCTCTAACAGATGATCTTCCTTTCTCTTTCCTCTGTCATTTCTCAAGGACAATGAAATTAAGTAAACAAGCAAAAAAAACTCATCTACTATGTTCATCAGGTGTCAGCTGGCACGGACGACATCTGATTTCCCACACAGTCGCCGCAAAGGCATTGTTATCAGACAGGATGTGTGTGTGTGTGTGTGTATGTGTGTGAGAGAGATAGTGCTCTATTTTTATTGTAGTTCTCCTGTAATGCGCCTTAGTGTCAGAGCCAGAGTGGCAGCCTGAATTGCTTCTGTCGGATAAACACTCCCAGCATGCATTGCTTGCCTCAGTCCGCGCAATGCTGCACTGGCAGCCTCCGTGCAGGATTCTGAGGTGTTTCGGCTCAGAAATACTGTAGCTGTGTGTGTACACACACACACACACACACATATATATATCTTGTGCTATATAGTGAGGACTTAAAAAAATGTTTTTCGCTACAAAATGAGGACATTTTGGCAGACCCGCATTTTCTGAAACACCTTTTTGAAGGTTAAGACTTGGTTTTAGGGTTCAGGCTGGAATTAGATTTAGATAAGTCCTGATGGTTAAGTGTTAGGGTAAGAGGCTATGGAATGCATTATGTCAATGAGTGTCCTCACAAAGATCAAAGTCCAAATGTTTGTGTGTTCATATGTGAACTGAATGATGATCCCAGAAATGCTTAAGTCTGCACTAAACTGACGGCTGCCACCTGAACTACAGACTGAACACACAATGACAGTTATGATAGTTGGACTTTTCACAGTTGTGAGTTTATAGCTACAGTGCTCATTATTATGATATCTTAAAAAAAAACAAATAAAACACAGCTCCCACTCTCTAGGAAAAAGTCCAAAACAGATATGAGGTCTATGTCTGCCAGACTGAGAGAAATGGAGAGAAGTGCAAAGACTTGCGACCGAGTTTGTTCCATGACTAACTACACACAGAGAAGAGGAAAAAGGAATGCGTACTATGTGCTGCAATGTGAATGACTCAGGACCACAATCCCAGAACTATGTGGAATGTGGCCTCTAACTTCCAGTGACTTAAACCTACACTCGTTAACAACTGCAGTACACAGTCAGCGGTCGTGTACTGTCACTGTGAATTAAAATCAAGTGCAGACCCTAACACAGGTACAGCCAGCGAGAGGGTGAACGAGAGCTGTAGTGTTGCTGACTGAGAGTGTTCACTACAGGTACATGGATGTAGCCTGAAAATCGCTTCCTATTTCCTAACATCCTGACACACACACACACAGATGTGGACTAAAAGTATAAAGAGAAATGTTCAAAACATGCATCAGGATTTTATTTAAAAAAAATCAGTATGATGCTATAAAATATTCCCTCCCCTATTCTGAGTTGCAGCCACTGTTTTACATGATTTAGATGACAAGTGATACTTTAAAATGTCCTCCTCTTAATTCACATATCCTCATTTATGAAGGATACAGATTATCCTAAATAAAGGAAATCAATAAATAATAACAACTTTAGCCACATCTTCAGTGCAATTCATGAAATACTGCCTGGTTCTAATGTTTTGTGCAGTCAGTGTTTACTTACCATGTAATCTTTGCATAAAGGATTTACCACCTGAAGAAATGTCAGGTGGATGGAGCTATTCATAATGGTTTAAGGAAAATGATTATATTTTAATATATGGTATCATAATACTGAACATGAGCTTAGCTGACAAGGAAAAATAATAGGTGGTAATCAAAAAAGTGTAGACACAAACCATAAGCATCCACATAGTTTCTTAATGGACAGAAGAAAGATTCCTTTATGTTGTTTAATAATCTCAGGCAGATTCTGCATACTGTAAAAATAAATGTCTTTATGCATATTTAGTGCGGGTTCTTGTGCTTGTACTACACGTTGTGATTCTGCATAGAAAGATTTTTATCACACTACATTACATTTTATCTTCTAGTATGCAAACTGCAAAACCACAAGACAAACATTTAGAAACTCGGCGATATATTAACCACTGAGGAGGCAAAAAAAAAGGGTAGCAAGGACGTACCAGGCAAACCAGATGCTTATCTTTCTCTCACACAAACACACTTGTACTTCTATCTTTGTGAGGACATTCACTGACATAATGCATTCCCTAACCCCTTACCATTAGATCTAAATACCTAATTCTAACCTGAACCCTAAAACCAAGTCTTAATTCTCAAAAAGCTGTTTAAAAAATTGAGGACCAGCCAAAATGTCCTCACTTTCCAAAAATGTCTGCACTTTATAGCAAAAAAATTACTTTTTTGTCCTCACTATGTAGAAAGTTCAAGAATGAACACACACACACACTAGTGAAGAGAGCTGCATAGAGGTCAGTTGCATTTAGATCTCCTATATCTACATTGGCGAGACGCCAGCATCCTGTGTCTGCGGGGGTCCATTCTGGGGTCAATACTACAACACTGTAAACTAATGATCCAGCAAATTCCCTCAGTCCTGCTCTCGCCCCTCCTCTCTCTCTCCCTCAATCTGTTGTTGCCCTCTGGCTCTCCCACTTGCTGATCCCCTGCTGCGTTGCAGAAATAAGAAACAACTGAAGACTCCACAGCGCCGGGCCTGCTCTGCTTCTCTGATACACACCAGTGATAAACAAGGCTGCTTGTTAGGAGACAAATGAAAGTCTGCCTTGCTTGATTTTTGCCATTCACTGCCTTTTCATCTTTTGTTTTCTTGCCACTCGGTCCTTTCTTTCATCACAGCCTTGACAGTAATGCCATGAAACATCATTCTTGACTCACAATTTAAGCAGACATAACGACATGATCTGCAACAACACAGAAACCTAAATAAAATGTGAAACCAAGCAGTAAGATAAAAATAATGTTTACTGACTACAGGAAGGGTCTGACCTGTTATGATCCAATAAACACATCGATCTAGATCAGCACACACAGACAATGTATCTGTTGGACCGTGTATGAACATTCATGACAAAAATCAACTATAGAATAGAACTAACGTGTACTGTATGCGGCCAACTGTTTATTATAATTAAAAAGAAAGATGAATCCCTGAAATAATCAGGGGCCGGTTTCACAAAAACATTTTAGACTGGTCTATAATGTTAAACCAGTTTTGATTTTTCTCTTATATACGTTTTATTTAGGTTAGAAAGGTTCACAAAAAAGTGACTTACTGTATCTTGAGCTGAAAAAGTTAAGACATCCTAGTCCTAGGCTAACTTATATCTAAGACCAATGTTTCCATGGTAACAACTAGTGGCAGCACCTGAAAAAAGAGGTGAAAACATGGCCCAAAATTTGGGTTTAGCTGATCAAGCAATGAGAAGGTAAAGGGTTTTACTGGTACATTCTTCGCTGAATTTTCCCACTAAAATGTCCTTGTTGAACTGTTCAATTCTTCTAGGAAGCGTAGGTTTTCTGCTGAGTGAAGGGAATTCAATGATTTGATGCAATTGTTCAGTCAGACAGGTGCTGTAGTTTGAAAAAGTATTAATTTACCCAGAATTCATAGAAAATTAGTCCTGCTTATGATAGTCAAAGAGCCAAATAGCTTTGTGCAACAGATAAATTTAGTTCTCCACGCCATAGTCAAACTCTATCTTTGTGAAGCCCCAGAAGACATCTCCATGGCTTCTTTTATAGTAAATAAACATGCTAACCTATTTTTGGCAGAAATGTTAAAATTCATGCTCAAATACAAAAGCATTATTTCAGTCACATCAATTTAGGTGTTTATGAAAGTTTAACCTGCAAGTAGCTCTAAAACTGTGAGACAAGCTCATGTCTGCTACATCTACATGACCAATATTTAGGTGGATTTTTTTTTATGCAGCATGTTAGAAAATATGAACTGCATGCAGTCTCTTCATCAAAGGTGAACTGAGCTACTTCAGAAACCATCAGGGGATGTCTGAATAACACTTCTACAAAGTAAGTATCAACAGGAAAGCTGATCACATACATGCTTGCACATACACACACGTTTACATGTGTTCACATAGATTATCTTACAGGCCTGAAGGAAGCTTTCCATCTCTGCCTCTGTCAGTGCACATAAGACAGCGATAGAGCCACACTGTTCGGTCCTATCCTTTCCATATCGATTGGGGATAAAGAATAGGGCTCAAGGGACAGAGCTGAACACTCAATCACACTGTTGACAAACATGAGCGAATGGAATTCAAAAGACACAATAAATAAGTAGCAGTAGCTGGGAGTAGAGAGGAGATGATTAATCTTATCTTTTATGGACAGATTCTCAAGAAAAATAACCACAAAAAACTGTCAGGTGGCAACAACAGAAAAATAAAAGGTTGAATGCAAGGGCTCTGTGAATTCTGCTCATTTTCTGTTTTCCCTCCTGTAACTCTCTCCCTGGCTGAATCCCTTATTAGCTGCAGAGGTGCTAACCAGAGGTAAACTGACAATAAATGTTTTTGTCTGTTCACAGAGGAGGGCATATCATCAATATGCTCCACCTTCCCAGCAGGTGCTGATCGTATGATCCCTGTTCACACCTGACCTGAGTGTTCTGGTTTTCCTGGTTGAATACAGCTGGACAGGGGCTTCACCTTATTCTCTCTGCACCTACACTCCCAGAACATCTGAATTTAGTGTTAGTTTTTACAACATCACAGCAGATAAGATGTAGTATGGAAAAGTGACACTGTGTACCAAGTTGCATGCAGTATATGGATTGCACATTAGGCCATTATGAGTTTCCACATTTATAACAACCCAACTAGATAGTCTCTTAAAACTATATTTAACTATGATGTCCGCATTCATAATTCTAACCTCTTGTCTGATAAAGAAAAAGCAATTAGTCCCATTCTTGGGTCAAACTGTGCGCTCTGTTTGCAAACCCTGTCACACAGAAAACTGTTTTTAATCACGAGTTCTTCCCATTAAAACCGTATAAATGTGCTTGCTGGTGCGTAAACAGGAAACATATTTTCTATACGGTCAACTATTTAAAAAAAAACCTGTCGATTGGGGTTGTCTCTCCAAATGTGCCAACGGTGACTGCTGTCACTAATCTCATGTACTGTAGCGGTGACTGGACTCGTGGAGCACGGCACTCAAGGTAGTCTAATGGAAACCGACACCTCGAAACACACAGCGGCTTGGAGCAGTCAAATGCGTGGACTTCGCTGCCGCTTCCACTGCCGACAAAACGGCCGCAAATGTCTAGTTTTGTCTACAAAACTGTTACACCGTTACATATTCTGAACAGTTAAATACACGTGTAAAATACACGTGAACCAATGCAAAATCACAAATGATAGTTTAAAATGAAATAGCTCTAAATGAAACGGCAACAAGCAGCGGAATGAGAAGACCTCATAAGACAAGGATGTTGCTGTATTCTGCATAAAAACCTGAAATCACCAGTGAAGCAGAAACTGCATGTTAAATTCTACCCTACTTAATATAATAACCCCGCCGACAAAATGTCTATCTTTCCTCAAATAAATGAAGCAGCCAACTTTCCAAGCCTTGCAGAGCGATGAGCAGAGAACCCCATGCCGCTGAGTGTAGCACCGTGTGCGCTTCCCTACCGCAGCTCCGTGTGTGACTGCCCCTGGCCGCTCATGAACTTCCCTCACAGCCGCGGTTTCCTCCCACATAAATAAAACTTACTTTTCTCTGGCTTGGCTGTCGGACGGCACGTTGCTACTCTTGCCTTTGGCGTACATGCTTGCAGAGAGCTCCGATTGTCACGCACCTGTCAACCCATCACAACCTCCCTGGGCACAGCCCCGTCACCATGGTGACACAAGCAGCGTCGTCTCCCATTGGATGTCCCGCTGTTCAGGGCCGCCCACTCGTCATGGCAACCTCCACTGAGTGACAACAGTTTGATCACGCCCCTTCCAGTAGCCCCACCCCCGTCTTTCTCTTCTCCACTGTCTTTCCCTTTGCTTTCCCAGTCTGTCTTTCTGAAGTCCATCTGTCTGTCAGTGTCTCTCGCATCCCTTCCTGATTGGAAAGACTCGCCTGACATGCAAACAGACAGACACACATACACACACGCATACACACATCCGCACTCCCTCCCTTTATTCTCCTCTCTCAGTGCTAGAGGGGGATTTGAAACCGTCCAACTAGGACTTTAAACAACTGGCTTTGGCTATTCCTTTTATAGACAATCACACCCTCTACCGACGCACACACAGCGCACTGCGCAAACAACTCTCGCAAATATCAACTGCTTTTGCACTGGTGTTTATTTACATTGGTGTTAAGATGTCCAAACACGCATAAAAGTGGAGCATGTTGGAAACAGACAAGCACTACAGATGGCCTGTAAACAACATATCCAGCATGCACAGGGATGATGTACAGTGGGAAGATGTGGCCAGGTTAGTCATCCTGTGCATTCATGCCTGAAGCACTACTACTGTACAGCTACCCCACCACCAAGAGGATATGTTTGGGAAACCCAGTGACATTTGAATGTAAATGATGACCTGTTGGAGTAACTGAAACATATCTAAGTTTGATCAATAACTGAAATCTACTAAAGGCCTCACATGCTGTATGAATGAATCAATGTGCTGAGGATCATGATGCAGGTTTGGTGCATTTACAGTCCTGCTTCACTAAAACTGTATAATCTTCTTCCTGTTTTTAGATATTCAGCAGGGAAGAAGTGCTACGTCATGCTGCTGTCCAGCCTGGCAGCTAACAGAGAGGAGGGTTCACTCCACTGTCATGATGTACTTATCACTAATCCACTGAGAGAAAGAGAATGAGAGAAAAGCAGTGGACCATAGCTTGGTGCCATTTAGGATCTGAAAATCACAAACAAAACGGCTGAGTCCCATCAGTAGTAGGCTCTGGAAAGACACTGTGTGTGCTAAGCACAGGGGCATCAGTGTTTACGCTTACGCAATGGTCCCGCGATGTGACCCAGTTGGAATGAATGCACGCTGCTTCATTGTCTCCTGCTCTCACTCTCTCTCCTTGACTGACCCCCCCCTTCCTCTTCCCCCTGAAGAGAGGTGGAGGTTCTATTTCAGACAAGCAGAACTTTTGGTTTTGGGATGAGTCTCTTGGGGTTGATCGCCATGACAACCACTCACAGGCGATAACCATGTATTCCAGAGGATGGAAGAGGAGGAGGAGGAGGTGAGAAAGGACAAGGACGGAGAAGAAAGAGAAAGAAAGAGAGAGCGAGAGAGAGAGAGAGAGAGAATGTTAAGGTTAACAGGTCATGTTGTGTAAAAACCAGATCAAACATGATCTGACTGGGTCACCTGTTGATTATGTTCCCAGATGGTTCAGGGTACATGTGAACATATTCATATGTACATGGATTCAGAGATCAGTCATGATTGCCGCTACTTAAGTGAAGAGCAGCTCCAAATTGACAGAGGCCATGATTAGACAGAGGAAACGAGACAGTGAGAAAGGGGAAGAAATGCAATCTAAATGCATAGACAGATAGATAACAGTCAGCAGCCAGTCCACTCTGTGTTGAGTTGCCCTCTGTTAACAACATGGTGCTCAGATCCTCACAGAGGTAATCAACAGTTACCCTCTGCTGAGTTCAGAGATGAACTCCTCTTCCCCTCTCATTTGCTCACTCATTCTTTTATTTTCTCCCCCCCAAACCTAACACCTTACTCAGTAATTTCATGTCTGCCAAATTGTATTTAAAATTGCCATGACAACAGTACACAAAATTGTCACATTGGCAGGGAGAAATATGCAAAAATCTGCAAATTTCATTAGTGCTTAAATGGTCACTTGCTTAATTGATTAGTTTTGAGATAGTTTTCATAATGAAGTCATTTATGAAGTATTAATTTTTTATGTCTGCTATTTTTAGTTCTACAAGGATTTGCTGCTTTTCTTTGATTCTCTGCAGTAATATCATTGCAAATACCTGCCCACATCTTTGGATTTTGAACTGGTTTTCTTATATTTTCTAGAAAAAAAAATAATACGAAGAAAACCATAGCCAGCCATAAACTGGTATCAGCACTCTACATATTGACTATGAACTAAGTGAAATGTAATTGAATATAATTGTTACATTTAACTTAAAGGACATGATAAAGGAGAATAATACATATACTATAGTATGTATACCATATACAGTGGTGTGAAAAAGTGTTTGCCCCCTTACTGATTTCTTATCTTTTTGCATGTTTGTCACACTGTAATGTTTCAGATCGTCAAACAAATTTATATATTAGTCAAAGATAACACAAGTAAACACATCATGCAGTTTTTAAATGAAGGTTTTTATTATTAAGGGAAAACAAAATCCAAAACTATATAGCCCTGTGTGAACAAGTGTTTGCCCCCTAAACCTAATAACTGGTTGGGCCACACTTAGCAGCAACAACTGCAATCAAGCATTTTCGATAACTTGCCATGAGTCTTCCACAGCGCTGTGGAGGAATTTTGGCCCACTCATCTTTGCAGAATTGTTGTAAGTCAGCCACATTGGAGGGTTTTCGGGCATGAACCGCCTTTTTAAGGTCATGCCACAGCATCTCAATTGGATTCAGGTCAGGAATTTGACTAGGCCACTCCAAAGTCTTCATTTTGTTTTTCTTCAGCCATTCAGAAGTGGACTTGCTGGTGTGCTTTGGATCATTGTCCTGCTGCAGAACCCAAGTTCGCTTCAGCTTGAGGTCACAAACGAATGGCCGGACATTCTCCTTCAGGATATTTTGGTACACAGCAGAATTCATGGTTCCACTTATCACAGCATGTCTTCCAGGGCCTGAAGCAGCAAAACAGCCCCAGACCATCACACTACCACCACCATATTTTACTGTTGGTATGATGTTCTTTTTCTGAAATGCGGTGTTACTTTTACACCACACATAATGGGACACACACCTTCCAAAAAGTTCAACTTTTGTCTCGTCTGTCCACAGAGTATTATCCCAAAAGTCTTGGGGATCATCAAGATGTTTTCTGGCAAAACTGAGACGAGCCTTTATGTTCTTTTTGCTCAGCAGTGGTTTTCGTCTTGGAACTCTGCCATGCAAACCATTTTTGCCCAGTCTCTTTCTTATGGTGGAGTCATGAACACTCACCTTAACTGAGGCAAGTGAGGCCTGCAGTTCTTTGGATGTTGTTGTGGGGTCTTTTGTGACCTCTTGGATGAGTTGTCGCTGCGCTCTTGGGGTAATTTTGGTCGGCCGGCCACTCCTGGGAAGGTTCTCCACTGTTCCATGTTTTCGCCATTTGTGGATAATGGCTCTCACTGTGGTTCGCTGCAGTCCCAAAGCTTTAGAAATGGCTTTATAACCTTTTCCAAACTGATAGAGCTCAATTATTCTCTTTCTCATTTGGTTTTGAATTTCTTTGGATCTCGGCATGATGTCTAGCTTTTGAGGATCTTTTGGTCTACTTCACTTTGTCAGGCAGGTCCTATTTAAGTGATTTCTTGATTGCGAACAGGTGTGGCAGTAATCAGGCCTGGGTGTGGCTAGAGAAATTGAACTCAGGTGCGATAAACCAGTGTTTTGACAGGGGGGCAAACACTTGTTCACACAGGGCTATATAGTTTTGGATTTTGTTTTCCCTTAATGATAAAAACCTTCATTTAAAAACTGCATGATGTGTTTA